AAGGGCTATAGAAAGGCGGCCTCTCACTTTACAAACTCAGAGTCCTCAAGGTTCACAGGTATGGTCCAAGCCCTGTGAAGGACATAAGGGACCCATGTTCTCCCCCACCACACCTCTGGCTTCCTGGATGCAATTGACCATGGCTGGTAAGAAATTACAGTCATGAGTCAAATAAAAAGGCAAACTGGTACAGATTTACTTCAGGGATGTGTTGAGATCTATTTTATTTGCTGCAACATTTTATATATATAGATGAGGGGGGGTGGGAGAGAGAGAAAGAGAGACTGACAACTATTTTGAAAAATCAAAAGGGCAATTTTTTTTTACATTATAGTTAATTTAAAACAAATGTAATCTTGGAAGAATATTATGTAGTCATGTAGACTTGCAACACTTTACAATGCAGATGTGTTCTGAGAAATGTGTGGTGACATGGAATTGTCACTGTGTAAATGCTATAGAGTGTGCCTGCACAACTGGGAAACCACTACAACAGTAACTGGTGACGCAACCTCATGGACCACCATCAGATAGCCACTGTTGACCAAAGCGTCATTATATGGTGCACCCCTATAGTAGCTCCTTTTTGGCCTATTGTTGGGATGGGGATAGTAAATCTTATACAAATACAGCTCAAACGTAAACCTTGTGGAAGAACAAACATGTCACCACAAAGTGACATTTACACTGCTAACTACACAAGACAGTATGATCCTTCCAGTCAGAACACACATCACAGCCAGCTTCAAAGTTCTCGGTTAGCCAGCACAGTGACTCACATCTATAATCCCAACACTTAGGAGGCTGAGGCAGAAGGACTGCCGTGAGTTTAAGGCCAACCTGGGTTGCATAGTGAGTTTCATTCTAGCCTTAAACTCATGGTAGAGCACCCGAAAAACAGAATAGCTTATCTCACAGGGGGTTGGGGTTTTGTTGTTCTTTTAAAGAAAAATGTCTTGGCCCTTCTTTTTTACTAATGAAGTTCTTTCTAGGAAAAGATTTGGGTCCACATGGAAAAAGTTCACCACCCTGGTGGAGAGGAGGGTAAGGGGACATTCAGATCAGATACCCTGATCTTCAGAGCTGAAGCCCAAGCACCATCAAGTTCATTCTTTCCATAATGCTCATGGTACAGTTACCCTACTGTGGTGGAGATCACCGGGACATTGTTTTCTGCACAGCAGAACTGCTGATGCTCTAGGGTCTGGGGGAAAGTGGGTCTGGACATAGATGCTAGGGGAAAGCAGAGGTATCCATGGCTAATGGCTTAAGATTCAGCAAAGCAAGAGCTCACACTGGCCTCCTTGCACACACTTCAGAACTTCAGATGGGGAAGATGTCCTCACACATCTGTGTAGCCCAGGTCGCAGCATGGCTGATAAAGAGCAATAGGAAGAAAGGAGTCATGCTGGCTCTGCCCTAGGCCCTGCAGTGGTGTTGAGTACCTTGGATAATAGGGCCAAGGAACCAGGCTAAGACTGATGATAGGTCAAGGGTCTGAGGGTACTATGGAACCCAGGTACTAGACACTGGTACTTCTTGGACTGAAGCAGGTGCTAAACACCAGGACCTGGTGGCTGCTCAGTGCCATCCCAGATGCTCCCTCCACTCAGCTAGCTCATGTGTTCAGTCCCCACGGGGTTGCCTCTGGAGATCCACGATTATAGTTAATGTCTTAAGATTAACTTCTAAGAAGTAGGGGTGTCAAGACATGGGCAGAAGTGGAAATAGCAGATGCCCCTGGTATCCAGGGCTGCAAAGATGAGATTGCCTGGTCATGGGCTCCCTTCCCTCTACGGAAGTCCAGCCTTGCTCCCGTCACAGGGACAATCCCCATGGCCTCTTCTTTCCCCTTTTCTCCAACATCTGCTTTCCTAAAACTTCTGTATTTTTCCTACTTCCTTTTATTCTCGTGAAAATGAGTCAACTGATGGCAGGAAAAAATAAGTCACAAGGCCCAAAGATATCAGGAGTTGAAATGAGTAAGCTCAGCAGCCCAGAGAGTAAAACATTAGGATTTCATATGCTCAACTGCACAAAGACTACTTGACTTCCCCAGGCTTACGCTCAGTGTTATCATAATCAACAGCTAAGACAGGGTCATTTTATGTGCCATATATTGCTCATCTATTTCACACACAAAGAAACTGAGGCTCGGCGCTACCTCAGTCTGTCTGTCTGGGCTGCCTTAAAGAAAAAGAGAAAAGAAAAACTGGGCAACTTAATGGGAATTTATTGTTTGTAGTTCCAGAGGCTGGAAAGAAAGCTCAAGATCAGAGTACCGAAGATTTGATGCTAGGTGTGGATCTGCTTCCTCGTTCTCAGATTGTGTCTTCCTGTTGTTGCCATAGGATGGAAAGGGCAAGGAAACTCTCTGGGGTCTCTTTAGTAAGGGCACTAAGGCTACCAATCATGAGGCCCTACCCACATGACCTAATGAGGCCCCACCCCCTAATGCCTTCACAGAAAGGGTTAGGTTTCAACACACAAATGTGGGGACACAGTCAGACCACAACACATGGATTAGCTTGCTTTCAGCCCAAAGGCCCTATGGAGATGAAGACCCAGGTCTCTACCTCCATCTGCCACTGAGCCCCGTGACCTGGCCTGTCCTATCCAGTAACCTCACCCACCATAGTGGGATTTCTAAGTGTCCCCACTATGACTTGGTCTTCTTGCTGAGACCCTACTAGTGACTCAGTCTTCTCTGTACAATGATCTCTCCATGTCCTCAGTATCAAAGGTGTCACCACAGGACTGGACAGGCACCTGTGATAGTGGCACTGACAGAACAGAGCAGTGATCATGGCAGTCAACCCTACCACACACCACTTGCATGATGCAGGGACTGTGCTGAGGTCTCATCCTCAGGACCACCAACACTGAAGAGTACATGGAGCACATGTCACCCCATCAGTGTGAGGCCAGACCAGTCTGACGTGAGAACCAAGTCGACATCTTAAAAAGCCTCCCAATTTGCTAAAGCTCCATTTAGGGAAGCTGCATAGTAATAAATATACACACAGTAAAGACTCAAAACCCAAAAGCAATTTATGACACATAGTAATCAAGGACCCCCAAACCTAAGGGCAGTAACATGGAAGAAACACGTTCCAATTCCTGGAAGACAACACTGCCTTCCCAGCCCCTGTGCTCTGTAGGATCACTGAGAATTCATGGCTCCTCATTTCTGGACACAATGACATTATATCTTTGGAATGAGAAGATGCTTTGTTACTGCTGATGGCGTTCTCCTCTGCTAGCCAAAGCTGTATAGAAGAGAAAGAGGAAGGGAGGGAAAGAAGAAGGAAGAGGAGGGGGAAGGAAGAGGAAAAATAATGTGGATACATTTCTTCCCTGCCAAGATCCGATATGAGTAAAAGCTTATTTATCTCTCATCAAACTGTCAATTGCTGAGGTTAGAAATGCCATAATCAGTGATGATTAAGGCTTTTGGAATATTCTTTGAACAAAAGAATCCAACCCTCAATAGCCAGAACTGGAAGGAATGATGCAGACCTGTTTCTTAAGAAAGAGGTCAAGGGTGAAAAGGAGGCAGGGGCTGCCAATTTGAAGCTAGCTAAGGAGCACCAGGAGCACTGAGCCATCTCCTCTCCTTTGGCATGTTCTAAAGCTGTTCACACACACACACACACACACACACACACACACACACACACATCTACACATCTGTCAGGCCTGCTGGGAAACTGCTGGTGGCTTCCACACCAATTCTGCTTCCTTCAGGTGATTTGGGTCCGGCCTTTTTCCTCGCTCTCTCTAAATGAGAGAGCAACATCTCAGACCCTCTGAGCTGTGAATGTTCCTGAGTCAGGTAAGTTGCGGCGAGAACATCCATCTTCCAACTGTGTGGGTACCTATGCAATATGTGGATGTGTGCTTCTGTGTGTGCACACATGCATGTGCATGTAAAGAAATGTGTGTGTGCATGTGGGGGCATGTACATGTGTATGCTTGTATATGCAAGTATGTGTGTTTGAGCATGTTTGTGTGTGGAGGAAATATGTCCCTCTAGTCCTCAAATGGAAAACACATGCATGTGAAGTCATGTAGTTCATGGTACTCTGCAGTGTGCCAGCACAGCCTTCAGTGACTGAATCCCATCTCCTACAGCCAGGGGGACAGCCTACCAGAACCCCGGACAGCCTGATGGTCAGCAGAAGTTTTGGGGTTGGTTGGTTTTGGGTTTGTTTCTTTGAGTTTCACTACGTAGCCCTAGCAGGTCTGGAACTTGCTATGTAGACCAGGCTGGCTTCGATCCCACAGTGATCTGCCGGCTTCTGCCTCCTGAATGCTGAGATTAAAGGTGAGTGCCACCATGCCTGGCCCTCAGGAGCATTTCAAAAGGCTGTAGTCAGACTATCCACAGAGGAAATCCCGAGGTGCAGATGCAGACAGAAGGGAACCGTAAGCTCCCTCTTGGTGTTTTCATTTCCAGGCCACCTCACTTCCCTACTCATTAAGGCCACAGCAATCCAGGGATCAGCTGGCACTTTGACCTCTCTAAGGACATGCACGCACACTTGGCCTAAATACCATTTGCCCAGATTTTCCCCAACCACAGTGCACAATTACCTTCAAAGTGAGCCAGCATGCTCCTCCAGGCTAGACGTGTGCCCTGCCCTCTCTATTCCTACCCCTCTACCTCCAAGAGCAGGTGCCAGCATAAGGAGAAACCAGGGATCATTTGTCACTGAGAAAAAGCTGGTAGCATGGCCAGGGAAGGCTTATTGAAGTCTTATCTGAAATCAAATTCTTCAGAATTATTTTCTATAATTATAAACATGCATATCAAAGCTCTTCAGTTTGTTCTTGAAAGGTATACCGACCGTACCGAGCAATATCCATCAGCCGTCTCCATGAGCTCCTTTCTGTGACTGCAGTCCAGAGCACCCCCACCCCCATTTCTGCGTATCATTCAGTGAAGGCCAGCTCAGCTACAAAAAGTCCCACGGGAAAGCCATAGAATGCTTGCTTACCTGGGCTTCACATTTCTTGTGGCAGGAATACTTGCAGGCTGAAGAAAGAGAAAGAATGTTTGTGAGTCAAGCAGCCTCAGAGCGACCCTCCCCAGGTCGCCCTCCTAGAGAAAGTCTAGCAGGAGCCTGCAGGGAAGCCTGTCCCTGACAAGTGGTGGCTGTGCCCCTAGGACCTGAGGTGAGACAAAAGTGAACTGAGTTCTAGCTGGGTTAGCAGAGTACTGCTCAGCGTGCCAGGCCAGGGGTTCAACTCCTAGCACATTAAAACAAAAATTTTTTTAAAGAGCTGAGTTATAACTAACAACTCTCTATTATGTTAGCAAAGGTTCAGATAGCCTGGCTGGAGATTTATCAAGAGTAGGAATATAAGTAGACTGGTTCTTTTAAAGGTTCATCCAGCCACGCTGGAGCCCTAAGGAAGAAAGGCAAGATCTGGGCAGCCAAAAGCATTCCACATGCCTAGAAATTATAACTGATGCCTGAAAAAGAAGAGGAGGAAGAGGAAGAACAGAAAGAGGAGGTGGAAGAGGAGGAAGAAGAGAAGGAAGAAGACAGGAGGAAGAGGAGGAAGAAGAGGAGGAGGAGGAGGAGGCTGGGGCTGAGCCCTGCGAGTTTGGAGGAGGAGGAGGAGGAGGAGGAGAACAAAGCCCCTGACCTTTGGATCAGAGCACTCACAGGAGTGAGAAAGTCACACATTCAGTTTCTGCAGGCTTCCACTTCCGGACAACCTAAGAAGGGACTGTCAGAATAAATTCATGTCTAAATTCCTACAGGGGAATCCTTCAACAGGGACTATTGTATGAGTGGAACGGGTCCTGTGTCATGGGAGGCCCCAACAATACAGACATGGGGCTGGAACCAATGCAATTTCACAGGCTCTCCCCTCGGGCCCAGCACAGGCCACAGCTGTGCCTCAAGGAATAAAAGCCCAGCAGCACCACCATGGTATGGTGTGGTGACCAGGCCCCCGCATGGCAGAGAGGGCAGAGTGGGGACAGTGGGAAAGGAAGAAACTGCAGTCAGCCCACTATAGCCACCCTTGGGAGCATCGCAAAGGCACCAATGCCTACATGGCTGCCCCTGCCTGAGGCTTCCTGTGCAGACTATGCCTCTCTAGCTGGGCTACCCAGAGCAAACCCTAGGACCTTTCTGGGCCTCTGAACTATCACAGCGTCAAATGGAATCCTTCAGGGGCCCCTGCTTTCAAACTAAAGTGATACCCCAAGCAGAAGTATGCAGAGCCCCAGACAACAAGGCCTCAGAAGTCAGGGAGACAGGCCCCAAATCCCAGCTTGGTGCTGTGAGGCCAGGAGCTTAAGAACTTTCCACTCTGTCCAGTCACTCGGCCTTCTGAACAATACTTAACCACAAAGGTCTGCAGACAGTTAGGTAAGGCTGAAGTGGATAAACTTGCTCAAGGCCTAGAAGTCTGTGAACCCTGGGTAGTTAGCAACCTTTTAGTTAAGTTGTTATCTTTGTGTGATCTACTTTTCCAGTTGTTTGTCCAAGCTTTTGAGGTTTGTTAGACTACATACCAAACAAATATGTATTCATCTTTTAATGGACACAATGGTGACCAGGGATTTTGAATCAGAGGCAGACTTCCACTAGAAAATAAAGGGACGTCCCCCATGAACTTAAAAACCCAGACAGAAGTCAGTCCAAGCAAGGGATGACAGGAAGGACTACGAAGAGAGGCAGTTGAGACCTAGGGTTCTGGGTGTGTCACGGGTCTCTAGATGAGTCAAATCAGCATTGGTGCCAATGGAAAATTCTGTGTTTGTGCACATGCACACACACACACACACACACACACACGTTCACATACACATACACACTAGCAGCAGCAGGAACAGCACACAACTGGGTCACATTACATGGCAGACAGCCTTTGAGATGACCTCAATAATCCCCTCCCCCTTATACAATGACTCACTGCTGGTCTGTATGTCAACATAGCATGGCAGAGGGAAGCTGGGTGAAGCCAAAAACACTGTGGCTTCTATCACGTTGTAACCATTTTAGCAGCCCTCCAGAGCAGCCGCTGTAGAGAAAAATCAAGGCCTCCAGCAAATAGCCAGCACTTAGCCAGCCCAGCCTTGCCAAATCCATGAGTGTGCTGTCTCAGTGACAGCAGACTCCAACCTTAGCCAAGTCTTCCAATGACATCCTCTAGAGAACCTGGGCCTGAACTGCCTGGTCACTTCAATCTCACATTCCCAACCCAAGAAGACACGAGAAATAGTAAACAAATGTTTACCAAGGTACTACCAACAGGTTCATGGTAGAGGAACTTTTCAGGCACAGTGAAATCCAGCCCTCTGCACTCCAGGTTCATGTTCCTGCTGTCACAACCTTGCTGTCTAATGACACATCACAGAGAGTCAGTATCCAGTCACCCATAGGGAAAGTGCAGGATCCTCAGCATTAATCCATTGTCCTCTGTGCCCTAATGCTAGCAGTTCCCCGTGTATCCCCCACCCACCCCAGGTGTTCCCAACCTCCAATCTGACTATTTTATGCTTGCTTCTAGGGCCCAGCCAGCTGTCTCTGTGTCCCAAACCCCAACAAATGTCGTATCAAGGTCATCTCCATAGACCATGTCTCTGGAGAGGCTGCAAGCTGGAGATGAACAGCGTCATTGCTGTGTACCACAGGCTATCCCAATGGTAACACCAGTAGAAGCAATAGGAAGTTCAGAACCTGGGACCAACAAGCTTGGATTGCCAGGGATGTTCCCAAAAATCCGTCACACTCCAGCAAGGATTCCCTTTTACTGACAGAAGAGCAAGGTCTATGGCTAGGGCCTAAGGATTCATTCATGGGTCAACTGTGAACCATCTAAGACTTATTGCTAATATGTTCACAGAAGCCCATGGCCAGTGGGGTGGCTCACAGCAGGGATGGTACACCTCATCACCTTCAGGTCCTCCAGCCTAGGAAGGCAGAGCAGGAGGAGAACCACTAGAGTTTCCGAGAAAGTGTCTCCATCTACTTCATCCCTCAGCCCCTCCCACCCACCTGTCTAGACACCACAACCAACATCTCCTCATGCTCTGTTTTAAATACAGGGCTTTTGCCAGGTATGGTGGCACACACCTTTGATCCCATCACTCAGGAGGCAAAGGCAGGTGGATCTTTGTTAGACTGAGGTCAGCCTGGTCTGCTTAGGGAGTTCCAGGCCAATTGGGGCTACACAGTGAAACACTGACTGAAAAAAAAAAAGTCCTATAACTCATCCTAACCAAGTTTTGTTGAAATCATCCTATCTTCCCTGATAGAGAAGTCTGAAGAGCAGAGCCCTCACACTCTGGGCTTGGCTTCCTCCTATCAAAGATGGTCAGCAAGAGGATCAGTAAAACAGTTGGGTCATGTGAAGTGTGTAAAACAGGATTCACATGGTAGCATCTATCAAGGCTTCCATCAGCTGTTCGGAGTTGTGGCAGATGTGACTTAACAGATCAGCTTCCTTCCTCTCCACTCCTCTGGACTCCCTGCCTTCTAGCTGCTGGGAACTCAGGAACCCTCCTGGGCACTGATCTCCCCCCAGCTCCAGGGTCGTGGGACTCAGGGGTGCTCTTTCAGTTTCCATAGACTTCACACTTTACAGTGTCCCCAGGGGGCCTTATACCAATGGCCTCCTGGGTGCTCCTGGGTAACAGTCCGGTGTCTTCACATCTACTGTCCACTGACTCCTTCCAGAACCCTGTTTCCCAACTGGCTCAGGCCCCTCTGTCATCCCCACACCCACACAGAATTATCCAGAAAGATGGCATGTTTGGAGAATTATTGTGTACTTGTTCTGCAATCGAGATTTTTAGGAAGCCCCTTCTATTCCAGCCAGTGTCTGCTGCCTCTTCAAAACTTAACTCTCACTTCCTCTTTGCCCACAGAATTTTATTTAGTCTATCTTCCCCCTCACTCCATGCCTGTGTGAGTCACAGAAAGGTCACCCCAGACAAAGGGTTAGGTCCTGCTTGGTCTGGTCCTTAGTGAGGTTTCATAAAACTCTGGGATCCCCAAGACCTCATAGGTTGATAAGGTCAAAATATCTTGACTTTCCCTTTCTCGTTAACACAGCGGGGAAACTTTGGTACCTCTGCAGGCATTTCATAAACAAGACCAACCTGTGCTAGTCACCACTCTATTCTGCACCACCAGATGCGCCAGTTAAAATGCCAGCTTCATTCAAGAATGTCCTGATGAAAAACTGCAGTAAACACCTCTTCACTAGTCGGCAAGAGCAAAGAGGGGTCTGCATGGAGCATGTCTCGGCATCTGGGAACAGGGTCACCCGGGAGTAGGATCACCCAAGAACAGGACTAGCATAGCCGCGGCAAGACTAGCACTGCAAGCCGTCAGCCGAACCAGCAGCTTCCTCATAGAACATCATTTTTAGTTGAAGGAAATCCTGGCAGACAAAATATGATTATTCAGAATAGAATGCACACCTGTTTCTCAAAAATAATCAGAGCAAGCCTGTTATACCAAAACTTAAGATTTCAAGTGGAAATTCGATTTTTAGAAGATCTATATCCAGAACCAAGATCTTGGCCGACAACTCCTAGAGGTTTCCTTGAAATTTTAAAACAGTTGCTTCCACACTGAAGTGGTGTAGGTTAACAGGACCAGGAACTGCCAAACACCAGGATACCATGCTACTTTCTAGGTTAAAGATCCGCTCAACAGGCAAGACTGGCCAAAGAGATATAAGAAAACAGTAAGGAAATTGTATTGATTTCATTTTAGAGTCCACAGAGAAACAAACTTTAAGAAACTATCAGTTGAGTTTTAGTGTAAAGTCCAAACATATTAGTCCAAACATATCCTTTCCAACTATGTCTCTCATGAGGATGCCTTTTCTTCCAATTCTTTAAACAGTAAGCAGAAAAATGAATGAAGAAGCAAGCAGGAAGCACCGGCTTCCAACTAAACAAAGAGCCACAAAGCCCCACTTCTCACTCTTTTGAATGTTTGAAAAGTCACTTTTCATCAAAAATATTAACATTAACATAGAATACTGCTTTTAAATGAGTTC